CCCCCCCCCCCCCAAAAGCTTCAATCCCTCAGCCCCAGAACCAACCCGAAAAGGATCCTAAGCCCTTAACGCCCTGACTGGTCCAAAACCCGAAAGCCCCTGAACCTTGAACCGCTTCTCCTATTCCCTGGACGCCCCAAGCCTTAATGCACTAACTTCTGTTCCCTGCAACTTAGCTTCATGCTCGACAAAAGACGTGAAGAACACTTCCTTAAAGCCTTAACTGCAAACCCTAAAACCCCCCACCTGGTAACCCTCAAAAAACGCCAAACCCCTCCTGGCTGCCGGCCTTGGGAAGGAACTCCATGGTGGNNGCCATGGCCATGACAGTAATGACCTCGTTTTAGGGGTTTAGGGTTTAGGCATTTAGGGAGAGGAACAGGAGAGAGTGGGTTTGGGTCAGGCTTCTCAGAGGGCGTCCCTTTGGTTTAGCCAAGGGCTCTTGAAAAGGGTCGTCTAACGGAGTTCTGATAAAAGCTTAGACAGAGTTTTCCAAAGGATGTTCCTGCAGGAGGTGTTCTGAAAAGCCTTCGAGGTTGAAGGCTTTAGGGCTCTGGGGCCTTAGGGTCAAAGGGTTAAGGGTCTAAGCGTCTTCGGCTTTAGGGTTTCAGGGTCTTGGGGTTTAGGGTCTTATGATTCGGGGGCTTGGGATTTGGGGCTCCGATAAGCGTCCAAAAACCTTGAGTGGGAAACTTGCTCATCAGGGCTTGAGATCTGTGGGTGTAGGTGCAGGCTCTTCCGACCTGCCCGTGAGGCTTGGCCCTGCCCCTCCCCGCATCGTGGCACGTCCATGGTCCCCGCCTGTACTCCTAGGGGTCCAGGTGCCCAGTCATGACACATCCTTCTCCAAACGCCGACCTACAAAACTACATTAGATCCGAAGATCCGGCATGCTGCAGTACTTAACGGCTTAAGGATTTGGGATTCAGGCTTAAGGCTCATGCCGGAACCCAAACCCTCAAGTGCTGCCAGGTCTTCCCCAGCTGCCGCCGAGCGTCCAGCATCCACAGCAGCTCGTAGCCGCCCTTCCAGCCGCTTTCCGAGGACTGGACGGGCAGAGGAGAGTCTGAATTTGGGGTTATGGATACTACAAGCTACAAAATGATAAGCTAAGGGTTCCTACAACGATGACCGTACAGGTTGCTGCAAGGGTTGCTGGCAGAGTTGCGTGAAGCTTACCCACCTTACTTGTAGCGCTTTACAGCTTGCATGGGGTTTAGGGCTTTTCAGGGGGGGGAGGTCTAGGCCTCGGGGTTCAGAGTTGAAGAGTTTAAGGTCTCTGGCGCAATTCAACGTGTTGTGTTGAAGGTTCAGAGTTCGGGGATTTAATATCCCGTGCCTTATGATCCTTACATGATTGTAGTAATGGTAGTAGAATATACCCCAAACCCAATTCCACTCAGCAGCAACCACAGTCTACCTAACATAGCCAGAATCCGCTGTCCAATTCGTACTGTCCCTACATCAGGCTTAGGATTCCTTGAGCACCTCGGATCCGCGCAATTCCTCAGCCCATCCTCCGCTGGAAAACAGCCGTTAGAAGAGTTGCCCGACTGGGGTTACTAGTTACTACTAGCCTTACTTTGGGGTGAAGGTTTGCGGCTCGCATAACCGAAAGGCACCTCGCATCCAATGGACCCCCGAAAGCTGGACTAAACCTTGAACCTTTCAGGCTGAAGTCTTACGCTTGCAACCCACACATCGTACAACCCTGAACCCCTGACACCCACAAAGCTCCCCATGCAACGCCGGAGCACTCTGCCTGAGCCTCCGACTTCGAAACCCCGAAGGATTAGGTTTCGGGTTTAGGGGTCCGGGTGTAGCCTCGGACAGAAAGCTGTGCCCTGAACCCTAGTGTAATGTAGGGGCCTTAATAAGTAGAATAGGGTTTTGGGGGTTCCTTGTTATAATTATCGTATAGTACACCCCAAACCCTATTCTAGTTATTAAGGCCCCTATATTAATTATTCGATACTACGAGCATTAGAAGGAGCCCGGACCTCGTCATGGAAAGGATGAAGCTGGGCCATGCCGATGACAATGGCGAGACCATTGCAAAACCCAACCATGACCTCAGCAGGGGCATCGTGGTTCAGGGCTATTGTTGCGGTCATGGGGCTTTCATTTCATCCCTGGTCTACCTGAACCCGGCTTACTACCATTGCTTCTCTGATCACTGTGGCTAGCAGCATGTGGGCCATACAGCACATCTCCAAAGCCTCTGAAGCCAAAACGTGCTAGAGAGCCCAAGCGCACGACTCCTTAAATCCTGAAAACCAGGAGTCCCTAAACCATAAACCCTAAACCCTATGCCCCCTAAGCCCTCCTGGCTTCTGCTACGGGACTGGCGCAGGCAGCAGGAGAATGAATCTGGAGAGATTGCAGGCACTGGCCGCCAGCATAAAGAGCCCTGACCAGGCTTTCGGGGTTTGGGATCTTATAGGGGTTTAGGGGTTTAGGGTTTTCTTGGGGTTTAAGGGTTTAGGGATTAGGGGCTTTGGGGGGCTTGGGGTTAAGGGGTTAGGGGTTTAGGGTTTGGAAGGATTCTTGTGCGAGTCGCTTCGTAAAGACTTTCGCTTCTTTAGGGCTGTACGGCTTCCGGAGCTTGGGGATTTTTGGGCTTGAAGGCTTCAAGGCTCTGGGGCCGGGGTGGTACGGTAACGAAAATCTAGGCTTCATGTAGATATCCGTGCCACGGTTTAAGGGTTTAGGGTTCCCATCAGACCTCAATCTCTACCCTACGTGTGAAATCGAGGGGTGAAAACCTCTGCGCCCAAAGCAAGCGCAAACTCCTCGGGCTGTGGGACAGCACCGCAAAGAGCCCCAGGAGCAGCACACCGAAGTTCCCCGCCCCCCCCCCCCCATAGTTACCATCGAAACTCAAGCACGCTGGAGTCCGCTGGAGCCCTAAGCCCAAAGCACAGGTTTCGCTTCCCCTGCCTGCGAGCATGACGGAGGGGAAAAGGAGCTCGACATGTTCGCCGTTGCCACCTGCCAGGACTGCCGATGACGAGAACACTGACATTACTGATGGTCGACGAAGAATGAAACCAAAGTTGGAATTGTGTCTACCCTAAGCCCTCTGCCCACATTTCAACAATGCGAAACCCTGATGTCATAATCTGGGTGAAGAATCGGAAAAAGTCAACAGCTGCAGATATTAGGAAAACCATCGGAACCACAGTAACAGTCGCAAACAAATGGGAAATACCCCGGACACAGAGACAACACACAGGAACAACTAGGAAATACGCAGGCAATAGACAGCGGAAGCACAGGAGAAGCACAGGAACGCTTAGCACAACTGCCTCTGGAAAACCTATGAGAAACAACAAAAACTATAGGACCTTCAAGCAACATCTATGGTATTCCATGTTTCTCTTGTTTGTTCCTAGCTAAAAAGGCAAAAGGTAAGGATAACCATAGGGAGCAACAAAGATACACAAAGGAACGTTTACGAAAACAGTAGGCGGAACTATGGAATCCACCAGAGCATCTAAGAAAACAATAGACAACATTGGAAAATCACAGAACGCCTAGGAGCATCATTGAATTTCTATGATTTTCCTACAGCTTTAAACGCAATTGATTTTGCCTAGGGCTTCTAGTGCTTCCGTCCTGAGATTTCTCGTTTTCCTGACGTTTCCTATGGCTCGCCTGCTCTATCCTGTTCTTATCGCTGTGGCTCACCTATCGGAACAAACCAAAGCAAAATCGAAACCCATGGGTCCTCTATGAGTCTTCGACATTTTTGTAGGATTCTATGCTTTCAGGTGCTTTCCTACTTGTCTCCTATGGTTCTCAACATGTGTTTTCGGGATATGACTCGAGCCAGCAGCTAGGACAAGATATGCACCTGAGATTAAAATAAGACTGACAGTGAAAAGAAGAACACCCGCAAATCATGATAACAGCCACACGGACAGGAGCAGTAGCGACAGAACCTAAGTGGTGGTGATGTTGGTCGTCGCGGTCGCAGCCGCAGCAGTGACACTGGTACCGATAGCAAGCCCGAGTAACCATCTGCATTTTGGGATCCGGGTCCTTTAAGGGTTCCTATAAGGGTCTCATACTAGGATTTACGGGTTCAAGGGCGATCTTTACAGCCTTTGGACGCTTCGGGCTTTTTGGGCCGAGGGCTCTAAGGTTCGGTGTTGGGTTGTGGGGGTCCCTCACCAGAACCGCAGGCCGTAGGCCCGAAAGTGAGAATCTGGTCTTTGCACACAGAGAACTGTCAACCATGGGGTCGCTATCATACAGCTCGCACTGAATCAGCAGAGAGGGCTATATCTTGAAACACTTGGCGAGTTAAGAGCCGCGCAACACGAGTACCTCTGAAACCTTTCTGTCACAACCCGCATCCCCCGAAACTTGGGAGCCCTGACCAAATCCCGTGCAAAGCCTAGAGCCCCTCCCAACTCTCTTTGGCCCTACACCAAAATCCCGCGCATGAAATCCAACCCCGGACCCTTGACTACAGCCCACCTGGAGTGCTCGGCACCGGGAGAAAGGTGGCGATGATCGCCGCAAAAGCGCCGGTCGCCCCATTCACCATGCCCGGCCTGCCGCTGATTGATTCAGGATTTAGGAGCTTGGGTTTGGGTTTGAAGGGTTTGGTTAGGGTTCATGGCGTTGGGCGCTGTCGATGGTGCAAAGGACAAAGTTGATAATCGCGCAGTACCACGTTGTAAGAAAGGACCGGGTTCTGGGTTCGGTGTAGAGTGTAGGGTGTAAGAAAGGGGGCCATAAGAATTGGAATAGGGTTTGGGCGGTACAAGCATATTCAATATGAGGACTATGAGTGGATTGTAACAGGGTTAGACGTGGCATACCGAAGCTAGGGCGTACCCACTAGTCGCTCTCCAAGTTTAGAGTCTACGAGGCCTGCACTTGTCAGACTTATCAGAACATTACGACATCGCAAGGTGCGCCTGCCCCCGAGGAGACTGCAGAAGAGTCCTTGGCAACCCAAACGGGCTGATATTTTGCTTGGGGTTTGGGTTTGGGGCTTAGGCTGCTGCTTCAGGTTTCCAGGCTGATTCAAATAAGAGATTTGTCTAACAAGCCCTGAAGCCTTCACTGTCTGGCACAAGGCAGGATCTCACTCCTTCCTTAACAAGAAGCATGGAGAACCCAACGGATGCTTGTTATGGGGCTTGGTGAAAAAGAAACTCCAAAGAAACAGGAACGACAAGCTACCCTCAGCCCTAGGATCCCGAAACCCTGGGCTAGGACACCCTCCTTGTCTGCCTCTACTCGAGGTCCCCCCTAGACCCATAATGCAAAGTCCCTATGTTCAAGAACATCTTGGGTGTTGCATTCTGTAACAAGAATTGAACAACTTCTCCTCAGGAATGCCCAGTCAGAGGCTCCGATGATCCAGGCCGCATGCAGCGCCACGTGGGGCCGGACGTGGGCCAAGAAGGCAAAGGCCACGGACTCCGGCACCTCCCAGGCTGGGGATGGGTCTAAGGTTAGGGCTAGGGTTAGGGTCTCTTTACACGGCATGGGGCTTAAGGCTTAGGATCCAGTTAAAAGGCTGTACGGCTTGAGGTTTACAGCCACTTCCATGAAAGCATAAAGGTAACAGCTTCGTGGGCTTTAGGTTAGGATCTACCTTCAAGCCCAAACTCTGTGGTAACATCGAAGCCGGACTCTGTCCGGGAGCCCTCAGGACTCTTGCTGATGATTCTGACCCCTACAGTATACGACTTTGGGCCGTCGAGCTTTGCTTGAAGATTATATACCATACACCCCTGAACCCTGGTGCCCTCAACCCTTAACCTTTCTAGACACCAAACCCAACACCGTGCAATCCGACAGTCCTCTAAACTCCGGATCCGCAAGGCATCCACTGGGGACCTAGACAGCTACTTGTGGAATAGGGTTCGGTTCAGGGCTGAAGGAATAGGGTTCGGGGTACCTTAGAGGATCCTGATACTAAGAGGGCAGCTCTCCCAACAGACCTTAACCCCTCCGTCTGAAACCCTCAGAGGCCCTTGAGCCCTGACAGAAGGGTTTAGGGCTTCAGGGCTTTGGTGTTTAGGGTTTAGGGTAGCCCAAACAGTGGGATCCCTCTTTCTGGGGTCGCAACACATTTGAACAGGATTTTGATGTGTAATATGATGCACAATGTAAGAAACCAGATTGTTCCAAGAAGTGCTCTGCCCTGGCATCGTGTGGCGCCTGAGCAAAGCCGATGGTCACCCCTAGGAGAACCTCCTGGGGAAGTGTTGGACTTCAGACAGGTTTCGTAAGGTACCTTCCTCTACGGTTTCCTATTAACGGTCCTGGAGGCCATCGCGGCGGAGCGGGGCTGTGCATTTTTAGTGGTCCCTTCCAAAGACTAGACAGCTTGGTTAAGGTACCTTCTTGAAGGGCAGAGAATGGGGCATTTTTCTGTTTTCCGAAGACGGACAACCCTGGTTTCGAGGCTGTAGGTAAGATTCGAACAGCTCTTCTGAATTATGGTTCTTATGTCTTTGACCGACGATTGCCAAAGGCACTCTCGATCATGGCTCTCAAGCCTATAAACGTCCATACCAAAATCGATAATCATCCATCAACCCTATGAAATACCCACACCTCATATCCTTTTGATTCTCAGCGTTTCGCAGAACTTCTGCCACCTTTGTCAATAATGGGTAGAATAGGGTTTGGGGGTATATCATACATACTATAACTACAATATCAACATTGGAGTTAGGATTAGGGGGACCCTTGGGGATATGGACCCTCGCAATAAGGCCCCCTCTGGAACAGCTTCGTGCAACTACAACGAGCCTGAAAACAACATTTGCCACTTGTTTAAATTACTCTTTTTGTTTGGGAGCACTATCTCGAAGACAACCTCATGCGATTAGGCTTTGACTTAAGCGTCCTTGGTGACGTAGCTGGCCGTGATTCCCTCCCGCGTCAGCAGGTCTGGAGGAACGAAGCGTCCACCTGAAAAAACTCTGATCCTCACCCCAACAAGCTTAGAAATACCAAAACATACAGACATTTCGGGCTGAGTCAATCGCTCTTCAAAAGGCAAGCTGCGAGACGGGGAGTCCTCAAGAACTGGGGTCCGGAATGTAGGGTTTGGAGGTTTTGCTTCCGGGGTTTTTGTGTCGATAGGGCCTAGGGTTTCTTGGTCTTCGTGTCCCGCCTGGACATCGATTCTTTGGGGGCCCTCTTGTTTACAGAGCTTCGGAGGGCATTCAGGCTCCGGCGGGTTAGGGAGTCTGTGGGCGGGGCGGCTTTAGCAGGCTTTTCGTCTCGCAGATCGCAAGCGCAGGTCAGTGAAGATCATCCTTGCGGATACCTTGAACACGCAAGCTGTTGTAAAACGTGCCTTCCAGAACCTCGAGCTGAAACCACTTGACCAGGCCATTGGGTCGGTTGAGGCGTAGCCCTGCCTTAGCTTTGATCTTGGACTTCCTTGTGTCAGCGGCCAGATGCCAGCTCATACCATCCTTTGAACAGAAGATCTTGCAGTGAACCTGCTCGGTCATCTCCTCGGCGAAGGAAAGGCCCATGAGATAAACGGACTCGTACGGCAGACTCCATGTGATCGAACCAGCTGTCAGCATGAAAGGTTTACGGTTGCTGACATAGTACTCCAGTGGCTCAGAGTTGTACTGACAAAACTCAACACACGTCCGTCCGAACACCACGTTCACATAATATCCCAAGAATGGCGACTCAGGGTTGTGCTCTTCGCGCTCAAGCCAAAGCGAATTGAACATATCCTCTGAGTAGGAAGCCCAACAGCTGTCTTCAGGAGACTCTGCTCCATACGCCCGTTCCAGTCGTGCAGCCTCGTCCTTCATGCGGTCAAAGTGTCTTTGAATGACCGGCTGTGATGGCAGAGGCAAGGTCGCTTCCTCACCAGCCTTCCGTTTCTTCCCCGCGCTCCACCCCTGCAAGATCACCCTGAGAACCCCGTTCGACATGCAGATCAGGCCGGGCGTGAGGATCTCCTCAAGTAGTTCCAGGCTGATGCTCGGGCATTCTCTCAATGCATCCTCTGGATTGATCCAGATCTCCTCAAGCGCCATTCCTCGCAAGTCTGCAAGCTGGAAGCGTGCGGCAGAGGCAAAAAGCTGGCAGGCATTTTCCGTTTTCAGGCCTTTCCGGAACGCCTCCGTGCAAAGCTCCTGGAGTCTTTCCACCTGGTACTTGTCCGCCAGCGCGCACACTTCCACTAGCGTTTCAAGAGGGCCCTCTACCACCCCTGAGTAAAGAAAGCGAAGGAAGACCTCCACGGCTCTGCTGGAGAAGTCTGCAATGACCATCTGCGCCTTCCGGTGCTCGATAAATTCCTCAGAGTTGATCATTTTGTCGAAGACCACAGACCAACTGGCCAGCAACGGAGACATGACCTTGAACTCCACTCGCTTGACTTCCGAACCACAGCTATCCTCACCTTGCGGCTCTTCCACCACCACCGTGAAATCGCCGCCTCGGCGGAAGCAGTCCCTAAAAACTCCTGCAGCAAAGGAGATGTCCCCTTCTACGGCATTTGCCATGGCTGCGGCAAATCCAGCCGTGTCAGGGCGCAAAGATCGGCAAGCCTAGGTGAGGGCCTTGCTGAGATTAGTTCGGGATAATGAGAAAAAATGTTTGAGAAGGAGGGCTGCCAAATTCCAAACCCCTGAGCAACCAAACCCCCAACTCGCCCCACAAACAGCGCCTGATCCACCACGAACCTCTGGCGTAAGTTATCCAACAGCCGCAAACAGGCCGAATACGAAGCCCCGAAACCCAAAACACTCCAAACACCAAGCCCATCAACCCGCGCCCACAGAAACAGAGGCTCGCTAGATACCCCTCAATCCTAAGCACTAAGAATCCAATATAACACCTAATCATAACACCTCAACAACCTACCATGCCTAGTCACTAGTCTAAGAATCTGAACAAACATTCCCAAAACCTCTCAACACTCGACCAACCATAAAATCCAAAACCAGCCCAAGATTCCACTGCCATGTCCGGCCTAGTCCGAACCAGCCGCTCTGTGCTGACGAAGGGATCGAGGCTGCCCCTTGCTTGGGGGCGACGAGATTAGAATCTGATTAGAGTCTAGTCTTGAATTTTGGTGCATCTTTTTGTCTGGGGCTTCTGAGCTCGCAGGACTTTACAGGGCGTCTTTAATTTATGGAGTTTAGAGCTTAGCGTGCAGGGTCAGGGCTTTAGAGTCAGAGATTAGACAGGGGTTTAGGGTTTAGGGCAAGAAGCCAATGTTGTTGCATGCTTGGGGTCGATGCTTCAGGGCGCGGGCCTAAACCCTCAAGCCCAACATGGTTTAGGGCTTAGGGCTCTAGGGTTGAGGGTTTAGCCTGCCGTCCTTGAGTCCTGGAAAATGAGGGGTTTTGGGTCGTGCTGATCACCCGGCCTTTGCCACAAAGCTGCACTTTGCTGCCGGTGGTGACCGTCCTGGCTTGGGAGTCTTCTGATGTGGGGCTGTCATTGTTCAGACCCCTACAGCAGGGCTTCATACAAGAACTCTAGCAGCAGGAAGTACAGAAGCGAGCTCAACTGCCCACAGGGCCCACAGCAAGTAAGAGTAAGAGCGACGACGACGCCGCTACCACACCTCTCCTACTCTTAGAAGTCCTCAACTTCTAACTCCACCCTGGACCACTGGCACCCTCAGCCCCTCAACTGTCAACTCTTCCATCCGATGCATCCTATTCCCTAAAGCCCCAAATCCTGAATCCCTGCAACCCGAAGTTCCCGAAAGTACTTCGGTGCCTGAGGGGTTTTGCGGGCTCTTTCTGTGTGCTGCCACCCACTCTCTCAGCCGTGACACGTATCTGATCACATTAAAGCACCACCCCCCCCCCGCCCAACACCTTCAACCATCATACTCAACCCCAACACTTTCACCACTAAGCCTGGCATCTGATCCGTGAGGGCTCCAGTAACCCTTAGCCGCCTTAGCCTTGGAAAACCCGACGAAGGCAGCGCCTGGCACTGACTGCCGAGGTAACGCCCTCGGACGCCATGGCGCAAAGGAGAATCTCACAAGCAGTGCAAAATGTTGGTCGTCCAAGCTTGGGCCACTGGAGGCTACGGAGTTTGACTGGGAAGCCGTGGAGCAAAAGCTCTCCGTTTTGGCTTGGGGTTTATTTCGTGCCTTTTTCCTAAACAGACATGCTCCTGATTCAAACTTAGATGCTTGTGAGAGGGGCCGGGGGTGGTCTTTCGAGCTCTGCAAGGCCCGTGCCTTGCTCGGTCATTTCTTCGTTTCGTATCACATTGCAATGTTATGACCGTAATTAACTACCATTCAGAGTTCAGTGCCGCATTCGAGTTCATGTTGCCTTGTGCCCCGTTGTCGTGCTTTACCTCGACCTGCTCCTCTACAATACTTTGTCGCCATGTGCAATGCGCTGCCTTCCGAGAGGAAGGCCCATAAACTCCGGGCGCACACCTTTGCAACACGTGTGTCACCCATAGCACGGACCAGATAATTACGGTGGACCTAATTGAGCCCCAACCTGGAACCCCGGCTTCATCTCAAAGATTCCGGTAACCCTGACCCCGAACTTTGCTACAGCCGCAGCCCGGAAGACCCGAAGCCAAAGACGGGATCCGAAGTTCTCTCCATTTAGGGCACCCCTCAAACGCTCCTGAAAGCCTCTGATCTCGCCGGCAAGATCTTTACTAAGCGACAACCCTCCACCCCTAAAGCCCTCTAGACTCTAATTACTAAACCCTGAGCCCTATCCAAGCCCGAAGCCCCCCCCACACCACGGCCATGATGGGGCCTTGAGACTCTGCCTATGCATCACAGAGCTCATGGTCTGATGCTGCATCTGTGAGCTCAGCAGGGCACCTGGGTTTTTTGGGGTTTGGTGCATTCTTGCATCTTAGAACTTGCTTGGAGTATAGGCTGCGGGGTTTAGAGACCTAAAATTGCTTAGGGTTTAAGGGGGGATCCGGAGCGGCTCCAGGCTTTGGAGCCTGGGGCTTCCGGCGCAGATCTACCCCAGACCTACAACCTCTGGGCAATCTACCTTCTTCGATAAATCTCGAAACGGTAACAGAGCCAACTAGTGAACAAATTCCCTATGCAGGGACTGCTACTGTAATGCAGGTTGACCCAACGTACAGTTGCGGGCATTCGTTAAACGACCCAGGTAAAGTCCCTGCAATCCCGAACAAAAAAAGCTCTAGCATAATCGCGAGGTCGTGCACGCGGAGTCCATCACGGGAACTTAATCCTAAACCTTGAACACGAAACCCGAATCCTGCACCCCGAAGCCTCAACCCAGAATGCCACGCCTGAACCTGTAGGCAGTAACCCTCAGAGTTGGCAGTCCCTACATATCTAACATAATTACATTACATTACATTACATTACACTACATTACACTGCATTACACTACATTACACTACATTACACTAACACTACATTACACTACATACATACATACCTCTAATTAGCCATGCAAGTATGCATCATGACACATGCACATACGCCACATACGTATACATATACCTATACAGCCTATACCGATACCTTTACCGCCCCCCTCCCCAATGTGCACACCATATACATATACATACACATGCACATACGTATAGTTATAATACCCCTCGTAGTACAGACCCTGAAGATCGACCGAGGAGCTCCACTGCGCCACGCGGACGTCGTCGGGTGCGTCGAGAGACAGGGCAATCTTCCCAGTGGAGCTGGCGCTGTCCTTGAGCTTTGGTTCTTTCCTGTGGCCTTTTGTGGCCTGGTGTTCAAGAAACGGTACTTCTTACGTAAGGCTGCTAGCCGTTCGCCGTGATAGGCGGGCCTTGAATGGGGAAACCCTTTGAGGGGAAGCCTACTTAAGGCCTCTCGCGCTTTCTGACAGCCTAGAGGGCCTAGACCCCCTGAGCGTGAAACGCGAAATTGACCCCATACACCCTTCGTCCCCACACCTCCCTTCGAACTCTTCTCCGAACCACACCGTGAGAAACGAAACTGCTCAACTTCCCTAAACCCCCACGACACAGGCTCTAGGGCTGTATGCTTTATCTTTTGGGCAAGCTACGGAGCCGTGAAGGGTTGACAATGAAGATCCGTTGGTGCTTCGAGGTTGAGCCCTGAACCTCACCAGTGCATCCCAAAACCTAGTATCTTAGGGGAGTATACCCTTTCATAAGAGCCTATGATGGGCCTCTCAAAATGGGTCAAAGCCGCTGTTTCCGTTGAGCAGGTGCCGATTGGCCAAGCGTCCGGTTTTGGGCTACAGGTAAGACCCAGGACCTAAGCCTTGAACCACCCTGAAGGAACCTTGCCAAAGCCTGTCCAAAAGAGCTTTGAACCCGGAATCTCAAAAGCCTAAATCCCTAAATAGCCGGTTAAACAACGATAGAATCGTTTGAAGTAACAAACCTGTATAAAGCCAACCACCGCCAAGTGGCCATCTGGCAGAGAGAAAGGCAAAGCTTCGGCTGGTAGAGGTGACGAGACCTGGCTTCGGAACAGCATGTTGGTGGGCTTACGATTTAGGGCCTCAGGGGTTTAGGGCTGTTATCCCTGTAGTACCCTATGAACCCGAAACCTTATGCCCCTAAGCCGTGACGTTTGTTTGGCAGGGTTTCTCGACCGGCTGCAAATCTTTATGAGGGTTCTGTGGATTTTAAGCATGAGGTTATTGAATTTAGGGCTCTGTCTGTGTTTCTATAGGGCTGACTTCTGGGTCCCTGGCATGTCTAAGTTTGGCGCGAGGGGTTTAGGGGTTTCAGGCTTCGTGGCTTCTGGGACATTGAGGGTTTAGGCCGCAGGCGCCCACCCTGAATCGAAAGAAACCCTGGCCTAGACGGGGTTCCTTCGCTTATCGCACTTTGGCAATCGAGGTCCAGGTGTCCTTTCGAGCTGGTTCCCGCTAAGCAAGTTTATTTGGGTGGGCACCCAAGAGCCTAAACCCGTGTGCCAGGCCGTTCGGGTGCCGGGTTTCGCAAGACATTAAGTAGACCCTCAGCCCTAAAAACCCAGAATCCTAAACCCTAAGCCTGAACTACTTTGTTCTCTCACTTTCAAACCCAGCCTGAGGCTCGGACCCCTCGGCCATCTTTGCCTCCACTTCGCCAGGACCCACCTCCGTTCCTGGCGGTCGGAACCGGTCCCTCAAGACGGAACCCCTGAGCAGCATTTAGCAGCCCTGAAAGGGTCATTAAGGATTGCTTAAAGTGCCCTTTAAGGGGTTGGGGGTTCGGGGGTTGAAGGTTTCCAGAAAGGGTCGGGGGTTCCTTTCAGCGCAAAAAAGTCTTTTAAGGGATCTTAAGGGTGTACGGTTCATGGATGAGGGCTGGAGGTTCCTTGCTGGGGTTCAGGGTGCGTTGCCGAGGGCTTAGGATTCCTGCAGGGTATTTTGGGGTGCTTGAGTTTGCGGCTCCGGGTTTCGAACACTGGTTTTGGGATGCCCTACAGAAACTTATTGGACTTCTATGGGCGCTGCAAGATTTTTTTGGGGTCTAGGCCCTAAGGTTCATCACAGTTACCTTTTAAGTGGATCCATGGATC